GACACTGAGGGTTGCGATCCGTTGCTGGACACAGAAAAAGACAAAAAAAAAAAAAAAAAGATGACCAATAAGGGGATCTTAACCTTGGTGTTGTCAGCACCACACTCTCCCAAGTGAGCCACAGGCCGGCCCTAAGACTTTCTTCTTGAAGTTATTGAAGGAGTGAAAGAGGAGTCATTTTTTCACTTTGTGATCATTGTGGTCTGATGCCAACCCCCTGTACACGTAAACCCAGAGCACCTGGGACACACACTGAGAAGCATGGCACCTGTGAATCTCCAGGAGCCCTTCCAGCCTTGATCCCTATGGCTCCATCATTCTCAGTGGAGTCTGAGGCTCCTCTTGAACCTGACAACCCACTTCATGGAGGGGGTTAGGCTCCAAGAAGCTGCCGTTGTAAGGGGGTTGCTGGTCAGCTTCGGAGCAAGGCAGACCAGAGTTCCAGTCCTAGGTTTGCCATCTGCCTGCAGTGTGACCTTGGGTCATTTAAGTTCTCTGGCTTCACTCTCCTCCTGGGTAAAGTGGGGACAACAGACTTCTCACTCAGGGCATCTGGCACTGCTTAGCCCAAGACACATGTAGCTAATTCAGTACATATTAATTTCCTCTCTTTCCCCTTCCTGGCCAGAAAAGTAAACCTTGGAGATTCCTTTCTACCTGACTTGATAGCTCCAATAACAGCTCCCCTGCCCTCACCCCCAAGTTCAAGGGACAGGTGCCTATAAGTTCTGTGATTCCATCTCCCATGCAAATGATCCACCCACTGGGTGGGGAGACAGCAAGCATAGAACAAGAGAATGCTGGATTCAGACAGGCCTGAGTTCTAGTCTCAGTCTTACCATTTCCCAGCTGAGACCTGGGGTCAGCTTGCATATTCATACATATTGAAAAGGTGCTTACAATGTGCCAGGCATTATGCTAGATATTGGGGAAATAGTGAAAAATAAGACAGCACATCCCTAGCTTCACAGGGCTTGTAGTCTAGCAAGGCAAATGGAGAGTTAGAAAGTAATTGTGCAAATGATTGATTAATCGTGTCTGTGATCAGTGTCCTAGAGTAATAGCAAGTGGTATGAAGGTAAATGATAGGGCATTGGGGAAATTTCTCCCAAGAAATGAAATGGTAAAGGCTGTGTGGGTATTGGCCAGTGAAGTTGGAGGTAGAGGAGAGAAAGGGAATAGCATGTGCAAAGGCCCTGAGGCAGAAGGAAGGGGCACGTTGGAGGGCTGGGGAGAGGTCAGCGAGAGGGAGGGGCAGAGGAGCTACAGGACAAGGATGGAGAATAGGTGGGCCTAGGTCTCACCGGGCCTTGTGTGGCTTTGTGGACATGCTGAGGACTTTGGATTTTATCCTGAGAATCATGGGGAGCCCCTGAAGATTTTAAACAATGGAGTGATGTGATCCTATCTGCATTTTTCAAAGTCACTCTGATGGCTGGGCAGAGAATGGAGTGCAGGGAGATGAGAGTGAATCAGAGTGACCAGTGAGGAAAAGGTTCAAATACTCATTTGTGCCAGAGAGGACAGGGGCTTTGAGATGAGGGCAAATGGACACACTTCAGAACTAACTGGATAGGAGAATCTACAGGATTTAGGCGGGGGGGTGGGGTGAGGGGCTGGGAGGAGAGCCTCTTGACGGACTCCTAAATTATTTCTCCAGGTAGGTACTTGGGATGGGAGTTGTTTGGGGACTGGTGAGTGTGAGGTGCCCTCAGGACACAGTGGAGATGAAGGGGAGGTTACTGAATCCAGGGGGTAGGAGCTCAGGGGCCAGACCATAGGAGACAGAGTCATCAGGATCCAGCACTGACCAAAGTCTTGCTCATGGATGAGGCCATAGTCTCTGGAGAGTGTGGAGTGAGGAGAGGAGAGGCCTGGGGTGGAGGCCGGGAAATCAGTATTTAAATGAAGATAACAGGAGGTAGAGATAGCCAAGAAGATGGTGATGGAGTAGCCAGAGGGTCAGAGGCAAACACCAGTGTCCCCATCCTCCCCCGGAGGCCCAGGCAAGAGATGGTTTCAAGCTCAGAGTGGGTCACTTCACTTTCTTGTGCTTCCAGTTGCTCTGATCATGACTCTACGTTGTGCAAATCCCTTCAGTTCTGCAAATGCTTGAGGGGTGACTGTTGAGTCCTTGAGTTAGGCCCCAGGACCTGACCCTGGGCAGGAGACAATTCCCTGTGTCTCGAATGTGATAGTAAAAACTGACACTCAGCCCTAGAGGATGGCAATTGCCTCTTCTGAACTTTTCTGTCTGCCTCCCTGTCCACCCCAGCTGCCACTCTGGACCCCGTTCTATATTGCTCCAGGGTTAGGTATGGAAAGAATAGGTGGATTCCTTGGGCTGTTTCCCCAGGGAACCAGGGCACCCTGCCCTTGGGTGCCACTGCTCAGGTGGCAGCTCCCCCGGGCTAGTTCTGTCGGCGTCATCCACTCTCTCTCATCTCTCTATTGAAACAGGTCTCTAGAAACCAAGTTTAGCCAGTTTTTCCTTCAAGGATTCTGGAACCTTGTCCCTATTAGCCCTAGCTTTAGGTCAAAAGATTTCAAACACATGGAGTCAAAAAACGTGTATGTTAAAAAAGCATCCCCAATATTGCTGGAGCTGTGCAGTTCCCAGGTAGATCCCTAATTACACCTGAGCACAGACCCATCTCCGCGAGCCTGGTGAAGCCATCTCCTGGAGCTCATCGAGGAAACAGGGTTGGATCCAGTTCTGACATCTTCAGCTACCCTAGAATATTCAGAAATGGTCCCAGGTCCCAGGTGCCCCCCAAGCTTGACCAACTCTTGACCAACTGGTCATGCAAAATGCCCTGGGAAGCTCCAGCCTCCCTAAGCTCCTGGGAGATGGGGGGAGGAGTCAACCCTGGAAATCACACAGCCTTGACCAGGTCATGGCCAGGTTCCAAAAGGAGGGAGGGGCCAGGTGGGAGGGTCCTGCTGTGTTCCAGGCATCACAGCTCCTTTTCAATTTATTTATTCTTAATTGTAATTAATGTTATTCTACAAATTTAATACTTATATATTTAGTGCTCTTACATTATATATTATATTTAAGATGTACAGACCAGACATCATTGTAAGCTCTTTACAAATATTAACTCATTCAATTCACCTAACACCCCTAGGAGGAGGTGTTATCATGTCAGTTTTGTGATGAGATAACTGAGGCATGGAGAGGATGAGTTACTTGGCCAACATTTTGGTGGCATTTCCACCTCTGAGAAAACAAGGCTCAGAGGGAAG